GTTTGGGGCGTGACAAAAGTGGTATCAAAACAGTTCTGTTCTAGAGAGTCTACAAGCCATGTCTATAGAGTCTTATTTATGGGTGTGTCGTGCACCACACTTGTAAGCAGGAGGCTACATTGTATTTAGGATTATCACTTTTTCTTCTTACTCTAGATCGTGTGGTAGAGTTCACTTAAAAGAATTCAAACTCTGAAATTCTATTTCATTCGTAATAAGATGATACCTACATCCGGAAAGAAGGTTGGAAAGAGAGATAGTTGAGAAAGAGCTGAGTCAGAGGAATTAGATTTTTGTATGATGCCTATGATAAGTAAATGTGAGGTCTTTAGCAGATCATAGGTGTACTAAAAGGTGTAAGCTTCCTGATAAGAAGCTTTAAGGAAAGAATGCATATCCATCTTTATGGTGAAATACAATGAGAGATTCACAGGATAAATACAAGTTTCAACAAGCAAAATAAGCAAGATGAAGAAAGATACGAGGCGCGCAGTTAATGAAGGTTAACACCATTTATAATTCAGGCAGAGGAACATAAGCTTTTTGAGTTATATTCAACAGTAACATAGGTATATACAATTGGTCGCACCCATTCCAGATATGCCCTATGGGGGTTAACAGAAGTAGTATAAGAAGATATGATAGATGAATTGTTTGCCTCAGTTGACATTTCCGAAGGATATTGGTAATGTGCTAATAGATATCTTTATAAGACACCCAGATGGTGCACTCTAAAATAGTACAGCTAGATATGAGTACTACAAAGATAGGCACTGGAAGCCTTAAAGGGATAAATATTACCTTAGTATGGCCCTCATCCCTAGTAGAACGAGAATGCTTGGCAACCCGAAGAGCCAATGGATTAAGCAAAGGGAGCTAAAAGCAAAAGAATGTGATGTTGAAGTTTTCAAAAGAAAGTGATAGGCTGAAATATTAGCAGGGTAAGGAGAAGAGAGATAAGGAAGAATTATGAGTAAGATGCGAGACATGGATGACAATAGTTGATTGTTACAGAACCTATAGTCAAATGAATAAAGAGACAAAAGGTGATAGGCCTTAAGACGATAAAAGAGTATAGGCCATACTATCATATCCTCATTTCGGGAAATAAGTTCGCGACTATAACATGATTAAAAATCGGAAAAGTTAGACCCTAGAGTAATAGAAATCATTATGGACTGGTGAATAAGATAAACTAAACATGAATAAGGAACTGAGTGGTTTGATGATAGTCAGCATCATGAGAATTGCAAATTGGATTCCGGCAATAATAGAATGGACAACAGAAGAAGATCCATGATGAATTCAGAGAATGGTTATTCAGGGAGACGTTTACCTAAAGCAAGTAATGTGAGCACAGTTAAGCTTAAGAGACTATATGTGCCAGTTACACTAAGTGTCACCATTGCGAGTGAGGGATATTGTTATCCTTGGTACAAAAGGATTACTGCAAGGCGAGTAAGGGTTATTGATAATGTGAAAGGACCCAAAAGATGAAGAGGAAAAACATCTATAGGCAGGTCATCATAGCTCCAAGTCTTAGTACTCCCCTAAAGGGGGGAATACGGAATAATAAAGGAAGAATGCGAAAAAAAATGAGAAAGGGATGAGGTAGCACTTATCCAAATGTTACAGATATGCTATGATTTTAGAACGTTATGTAAGCACAACATCAAAAAAACGAAGTAAGGGTTCCTGCCCGGGATGTTATTGATAGATAAGGAGCTAGTACGTGAGGTAAGTTAAGACAAGGAAATTACTCGGGAAAGATTACGTGGAATATGGATATGAGAATGGGCCGACGAGTAGTTAGTAGTTGATTCAGGAAGAGCCTAGTCATGACTAGGCAAGAAGTTGCAGACAAATCAACAGATCATGCAAGATAAAGGTAGTGAACCCCAACATGCAGAATACAGCCTTGTAGTAATGTCATTATGATAATTTAGATATATTCAAATAGGAATCATGGTAGTTAAAGGTACCGTATAAGTGTTATGGGGATAAAAGAAAGTACCACCGAGAAGGCAGTCAAAATATCAGTTCAAAAACAACCCTACAAGCATAAGGGCACGAAGGTAAGCAACTACGGATGATTATAGGAAAGGAAGGGCATCAAGAGGTCCGTAATAAGCTCACAGCTTTACGGGAGTCAAGGGTTCTCCCTAAGAACTACAACGAAAGACTAGCTGAGGAAACAAGGAAGAAAGCTTCAACCTAAGCACCACGACCTAAAGAGGAAATGGTCATGTAACAACATTATACGCACTCCAAAGGAAAGTGTCACCTATCGTGACTAATGAACGAGAAGCAAAATTGAAAGTAATATTCGAGATCATATGAGTTGCATGAAAACTCTGGCATGTGTGGGAACTAAGATAGCTTAAGCCTACATAGAGGTTGATCAGAGGGAAGAGGAAACTAAAGAATGACATCAACTAAGTAATCAGGAGTCTATTATTGGACCCAGAAAATTAGAAACATCATGATCGAGACCATTGCAGGATCTTGATATGTCGGAGAATTTCGGCACATTTCACTACTAATTGCTTAGATTTTAGCTTGTTTTAATGCAATTATCTCTGTTACTTATGTAGTTTTGTTGTTTCTACAGTACATAAGGACTGAGAACCCAAGAACATGGAAATGGAAGCAAAAATATAAGAAAAGAGTAAAATGTAGCAGAAATGCTGGTCTGCGATACACTATGCGATTGCAGATCAGACATGCGAGCTGCAGAATGCACGTCAAATCGCAGACAAAAGCAGAGATCTAGGTTAAATCTCATGTCAAGAATGCTGTCCATTATGCAACCGCAGAACTAACATGCGAGCCGCAGAGTGAACCGCAAAACCAACTATGAAGGTCACTGAAGGACGAAGATGAGATGCAAAATGCGATCGCAATTCTGCAATGCGATCCGCATAATTGGAATGCGAAGAAGACCTATAAACTAGGGTTCCAGTCTGCGATGAGGATGTTCAATATGTGGACCGCATACGTGCTCTGCGACAAGAATGCGATCGCATATCAGACCTAAAAGGGCATTTTTGTCCGTTTTCTGTCCCAATTTTGAGTCCACTATAAATAGTTTTATGATGTCTTTGTGGGCTCATCTTGTCTAGTCTTTGAACCACATTCCAAGACATTAATATTCCTCACTTTTTGAAGCTTTTGGGTGAAGATTCTCTACTTTATAAGCTTTTATGACATTAAATACTCTTTGGTTTTTGTATTGTAGTATGAGTAGCTAACTTTAATACTAAGGTTGTGGACCCTAAATGGGTGTTATGCTAATGGGTGTTTAACATTGAATATATATATAATGGTTGGTTGATATTTATTTACTTCTCATTCTTCATTTATTGTTGGTGGTTGCAAATATTAACAAGTGCCATTAAATTCTTGCTTTGCTTTGGAAAATGGGTTAGAATTTGGTAGAAGTAAATATCAATGACTCAAGGCTTTAAACCTTGTTTAATAGAATCGCTTAGGAATAAGTGGGTTTTACTTGGCATATATTGATGGTTCTAAATTGCAACTCTTTTATATTTGGGAAAATTATAAAGAGGAAATACTACTCAACTATTGGGAAATATTGGGTAGTCACTTAGACATCATTTGCATATCAAAAGAACCTTCCATTAGAAATATATCATATTAACACCGATAAGCATTACACTCCATTAAAGGGGACACAACCTTGGTTTCTTTAATCCAATTAATTACTCTATAAATATTCCAATTAGTTGATACTTCCAAACAAACTCAATTCATACTCTTGTTACTATAAAACCATTCTCTTGTTACTGTTAACCGAATAGAGATACGACTTTAGTCGAGCAACACACTATAAGAGTAACCTTTTCACACCTATTCCCTATGGGAGTCGACCCCAACCTTGTTGGGTTATTATATTTGACACCGACCACCTTACACTATTCATTAAAGTGTAATTTGAGCGTATCAAATTTTGGCGTCGTTGCCGGGGAATACGGTTTTGAAATTACTATTTAGTATGTACTTTACTTAACGTCTATTTCTATTCCATCACACTTTGCTTGCTTTGCTTGGTGTTGATAGGAAAACATGTCTGAATATGGTGATGATGCGGAGACAGAAATGGGAGAGAATCCTTTCGCAGACATCGAGGAGTACATTGAGGATACTAACGCCATTGTACCGCCAGTTGTTGGAGCTGCAACATTTAAAGTGGAACATGGTCTAATTCTGATGCTCAAGGCAGAAGGATTTTTCAGAAACTCCACAGATGATGATCCAACATAACACCTTAGGAATTTCTTAGGTGTGTGTGTAATGCACAAACAAAACAATGTCTCTGACGATGCCCTGAGGTTGAGTGCTTCAAGTATTCTCTAGCTGGGGATGCGAGGAAATGGCTCCAGAATCTGCCACCCAACTCTATCCATTCTTGGCCCGAACTTGTCCGGGCATTTTTGTCCAAGTGGTTCCCGCAGAGCAAAAAGTCTGAGTTGCGGGATAAGATTTTCTTCTTCAAGCAGATACAGGGAGAGCAGTTGCATGAGGCATGGGATCGCTTCAAATTATACTTGGTGAGGTCTCCAAACCATGGTTTTCCGGATTCCATGTTGTTGGAAAACTTTTATATGGGTTTGGATCCATGAACCAAGTCATCGCCAAGAATGCAGCTGACAGATCTTTCATGGACAAATCATTTGCAAGAGTGACACAAATCCTAGACAAAATGGCAAAGCACAACCAAGCATGGCATTCAGAGGATACTACCGGAGGAATCTCATATGGCTCTCCTTCCTTGAGTAACTTAATCAAGGAAAATCAAGAGAGGTATCAAGTGATTGTCGGACTTGCAACAAATGTAAATGTGCTGACAAAGATGTTTACCGAGAATTAGACAAAGAAAGTGAATGCAGTGGAAGATGTCCAACCCATTTTAGATGAAAATTTTGAGGAAGCAAATTATATCAACAACCCTCAAGGAGGGTATCAAAGGCAACCCTACCATGGTCAAAGGCAACAAAGCCAGTGGAGGCCAAACTCGCAAGGCCAAGGCAACCAACAATGGAGAAATGATCAAGGTAACTCGCATCAAGGAAATTGGAACAACAACAACAACTTTGCAAACCGGAGCTCCAACCCGTATGTTCCCCCAAAAGGTCATTATAAAAATCAAGGGTCGTCAAGTGAGTAAAAGTTAGAAAGCATGCTTGAAAGAGTATTGCAAAACCAAGAAAAGTCTGACGCGTCCATGAGAAACATGACCGAAGTTGTTGGCTCTCACACCGCATCTATCCAAAAGTTATAGAAGCAGATAAGAGACCTTTCAAGAGAGCAAAACCCAAATCAAAAAGGGCAACTTCCTAGTGATACCATTGTGAACCCAAAGAGTGGTGGAAGTGGCTCAACTTCTCACGTCATGGAAATAACTACAAGAAGTGGGAAGGTTTACAAGGTGACATTGAGCAAGAGGTTGTTGGGGAAGAAGCTGGACAAGAAGTTGAAGCAGAAGAGCAACGGGTTGTTGAAGTTGAAAGGGTGCCGGAAAAAGAGAAGGTGCAAGAAGTGAACCAAGAAAGGGTGAAGGAAAAGGAGAAGGAGACATCAAAAGCTCCACCTCCTATTCCTAGACCTCCTCAGCCTTTTCCTCAAAGACCTATTAGAAGGGTTGATGATAGCAAGCTTGAGAAATTCTATTATATTCTAAAGCAATTGTCGATGAACATTCCATTCTTGGAGGCTTTTCAAGAAATGCAGGGGTTTTCCAAATATTTGAAGGATTTGATCACCAAAAATAGGACCACAAAGAATGAGGTGGTAAACATGACTCACCGGGTTAGCTCTATTATTGCCACAAGCCATGTCCAAAAGAAAGAGGACCCGAGAGAATTTACTCTTCCATGCACTATCGGGGAGCATGACTTTGCAAAAGCCCTTTGTGACAATGGGTCTAGCATCAACTTGATGCCACTTGCCATCTACAAGCAAGCGGGATTAGGGATGCCGAGGCCAACAAGAATGAGGTTACAAATGGCCGATCGATCTATTAAGCGACCGGTAGGAATTGTTGATGATGTGATTGTGAAAGTTAGAAAATTCCATTTGCCCACCGACTTTGTAATTCTTGACTGTGCTGTTGATAAAGAGATCCCTATCATCTTGGGGAGATCATTCCTAGCCACGGGAAGAGCACTCATAGATTCGGAGCGAAATGAAATTAAGTTTCGGGTGAATGATGAAGAAGTCACATTTCAAGCGAGCAAGGGTATGAGATTACCCAATGAGTATGAGAGCATTTCAGTGATAGATGTGGTTGATGAGGTTGAAGATGTCGTCGAGTTGAAAATGGAAGAACAATGCCTTGGTGAGGTATTGGCGGCTATCTTGGTAAACTTTGATGGTGAGGACATGGATGGGTACATGGAGTCGGTAAATGCATTGGAGGGTCTTGGATCCTATACTTACACTCCGGAAAAGCTTTCTCTTGACTTGGATAATAGGGCCACACCTCCTGCCAAGCCATCAATCATTGAGCCACCACAACTAGAGCTCAAGCCTCTCCCGCCGCACTTAAGGTATAGATTTCTTGGCTCTAATGATACTTTACCTGTAATCGTTTCGTTTTTGCTAAATGATGTGCAGGTAAACCAATTGTTGGAAGTCTTGAAAGAACATAGGCAAGCCTAAGGCACACTAAGTGCTATGGGAGTCAGTAGCTGGCTGAGTACTGGAGGGGTCACCCTCGGATGTGGAAGATGGGACCGATGAGAGCTCGGTTTGAGGAGTGACCTTTCCTAATGGAGCAATGCTCCAGCCACTTTCCAAAGGTGTATGATGTTCATCTTCTCCGACATGGTTAAGGACTTTCTTGAAGTCTTCATGGATGATTTCTCGTTGGTTGGTGATTCGTTTGAGCACTGTCTTAACAATGTTAGACAAGTGCTTAAGCGATGCGAAGGGACAAACCTTGCGCTAAAGTGGGAGAAATGTCACTTTATGGTTGACGAAGGCATTGTGCTTGGGCACAAAATTTTAAAGCATGGTATTGAAGTAGACCGGGAAAAGATTGAGATTATTTCTAAGCTTCCTCCACCGACCTCCGTGAAAGGTGTTAGAAGTTTTCTAGGGCATGCCTGGTTTTACAGGTGCTTCAACAAGGACTTCTCCAAGATTGCTAACTCCATGTGCAAACTCCTAGAAAAAGATGCCAAGTTTGTGTTTGATGAGAACTGTCTTAAAGCTTTTGAGGAGTTATAGCAAAGGCTCACCACGGCACCCATTATTCTCACGCCCGATTGGTCACTTCCTTTCGAGCTCATGTGTGACGCCAGTGGTGTAGCCATTGGAGCAATGCTTGGCCAATGTCACAACAAAGTTCTCCACCCGGTGTACTATGCAAGTAAAACTCTCAATGAGGCACAAATGAACTACATGGTAACTGAGCAAGAGCTTCTTGCTATTGTGTATGCTTTTGACAAATTCCGAGCTTATTTGTTGGGGTCCAAGTGGTGGTATACATTGATCATGCGGCTCTTCGATATCTCATGGAAAAGAAGGATGCAAAGCCTCGATTAATTCGATAGGTCTTGTTGTTGCAAGAATTTGACTTCGAAGTCAAAGATCACAAGGGAACTCAAAATCAAGTGGCGGATCATATGTCAAGGCTTCAGGAAGCAGGGAGACCATAGGGAGATCTTGAAATCAACGATGCATTCCTTGATGAGCACATATTGGCATTATCTATAACTTTTTCTCCTTGGTATGTCGATATTGCTAACTGCTTGGTTAGTGACCTTATCCTGGACGGATTGGAATCTTATCAAAGAAAGAAGTTTTTGAGAGACTGCCGGCAATACTATTGGGAGGAACCATACTTGTTCCGTGTTTGTGCTGACAATATTATCAGAAGGTGTGTTCCCGAAGAAGAGGTTATGTCAATTCTCAAGGTATGACATGACTCATCGGTTGGGGGTCATCATGGAGGAAATCGGACGGCGGCTAAAGTTCTTGAATGTGGGTATTATTGGCCTTCCATATACCATGATGCCAATCAAATGGTCAAGGCTTGCGACCAATGTCAACGACAAAGTTCAATCTCTAAGAGGCATGAAATGCCAATGCACTTTGTGATGAAGATAGAGATCTTTGACATGTGGGGAATCGACTTCATTGGCCCCTTTGTAAGTTCTTACGGGATGAAATACATCTTGGTAGCTGTGGACTATGTGTCCAAATGGGTTGAAGTAGTTGCCTTACCAAACAATGAGGCAAGGAGTGTGACCGCCTTCTTGAAGAAAAACATATTCACTCAGTTTGGCACTCCTAGAGCCATCCTTAGTGACGGTGGATCTCATTTTTGTAACAAGGCATTCTCGGGGCTGCTTGAGAAGTATGGCGTAAAGCACAAGGTGGCCACACCTTATCATCCGCAGTCAAGTGGTCAAGTTAAGGTTTCCAACCGGGAGATCAAGAGCATTCTAGCAAAAAATGTGAACGCAAATAGGACCGACTGGTCAAGGAAGCTAGATGATACATTGTGGGCATACCGCATGGCCTACAAAACCCCTATTAGTAATTCTCCTTATCGGCTAGTCTTTGGTAAAGCATGTCATCTACCCGTGGAATTGGAACACAAAGCTATGTGGGCGTTGAAAAGGCTGAACTTAGATTGGGCTGAAGCTGCAAATTTGAGGTTAACACAACTCAATGAAATGGAGGAATTCCGGTTCCATGCTTATGAAAGTGCAGCTATGTACAAAGAACGGATGAAGTTTGTCCATGACAAGAAGATCTTGAAAAGAGAGTTCAAGATGGGTGATTTGGTCTTGCTCTTTAACTCAAGGCTCAAATTGTTTCCGGGCAAGCTTAAATCAAAATGGTCTGGTCCATTCAAAGTGGTCAATGCCTCTCCTTATGGAGCTGTGGAATTAGAATCAACAGATGGGTCCCGGACATTCAAGGTAAATGGCCAATGCATCAAGCACTACTTGGGCACTGATGGAGAAAAACATTTGGTGGAGCAGCTAGCTCTCAAAGATGGTCCATGCCCGACCATTGAGTGAAACCAAAGGAATATCAACTTCATCGTGTCGTGGCGTTAAATCAAGCGCTTCATGGGAGGCAACCCATGTGTGGTAACACTCTTTTGTTCTATGAATTTTTAGTGTTTGATAGATAAATTTATTTGAGCAATTTAAAGTGTGTGTTAGAGTGCAGGGGGTTCAAAAGATCACAACAATTGGTACGAATGCATAAAAAGTGGAAGAAAAA